TTAGGGTTTAGGGCTGAGGGTATAACTGGAGTTGTTCCATGGCTTGTAAGGGTTAGTAACCTACTTACGAAGCCCCCTTAATCCTCCAAGTGGTTTGGATTTGGATGTGATCCAGGGGAGAGATTCAGCAGATGATTCTTGATCTTCAGGCCCTGAGACCCTGCATGTTCAAACATAAACTTCCAAGTACCCGGTCCCGAAATTGAAGACCATGATCAAGTGTCCCCGCAAAATACAATTCAAGCTTCAGGCCCACATGCTCAAGCCTGAGCCCGTAAACCCAAACCCTAAACCTTGAATCCCAAACCCAAACTCCCAAACCCAAAGCCCAAAACCTTAGACCCAAGCCTAAACCAGAAACAAAAAGACTTTGAACTTGAAATTGTCAAGGACGACCATCCACAATTGCAGCTCGGGCAGCATGAAGTTTCTTGCAGCTTGCTACTCGGAGCTTCGTAGGATTTCGGAAGTACTTCTGGCTGGGATTTTGCCCTTATAGTTGGAATAACCAACATAAGTCCAGAAAAGGATTATAAGTAGGAGAAAAGCCCAGTTGTGAATAGCTACTAAGTCCCTTGAACCTTCAAGTAGAGATAGAATTCAGGGTTTGGGGTTGAGGGCGGTTTGCGGATCTCATGCCGGTGGTTTCTAGAGGTTGTACATCTTTCAGAAGCTCCGAGTATAGACTCCACACCAATCTGAACTTGCTTGAACCGTTCAAGTAAGGTTTAGGGTTTAGGGCTTTGAGGAACGGGCCTACGGATTATCTGACAGGGAAAAGCCTAAGCCCTAAAAAAGTCTAAATCCTAAGCCTTTAGCCTAACAGGAATTCCTTCACCCAAGGTATCATGCTGCCGGGATCCCTGTAAGGCTTAGGCCCCGCCATGGTAAGGACTTCTAGGGGCTTTAGGAGTGACCCTTAATGGGGACCCTCGGAGCTTATTGGGGGTCATATGGGTATTACCTGGTTATGTTCAAGTCAATATTTCCCACGCGATTCAAAGGGTTTAGGGTTTAGGGTTAATGGTTTAGGGTTTAGGGTTTAGGGTGAGGGTGTAGGGTCAGGGTTTCGGGTCAGGGTGTAGGTTTTCGGGTTTAGGGTTCAGCGTGCTTACAGGGTAGTAGGATGTAGGCACAATTCTCGGGGAATATCTAGGCATTTTTCTGGAGATCCACTCCTCCCAAAAATCCGAAACCCAACAAAGCCTTGTATAGACAATTTACCACTTCCTTTTCCATTTGAGGGATGCATCCCCCTATCAGCAATCCCCTCTCATGCACATTAGCCCCCCCCACCTCCCAGTATTGTACATCCCATATGTGTATATTACGTATATACAGGAGGGGGGGGTCTGGGGCGGCTGGGATTTAATATTCGAAGGCTATAGACTGGGCAATTTAAAGCGACCTCACCCGACCAAATGGTGGCTTATATAGGGAATAGTACCAAGGTAGTCTTAAATTAGGAATTGACCCAACACCCTAAACCCATTTACCCTAAAGCCTTAACCCCTAAACCCCTAAACCCAAACCTCTCCCCTCCCCCCTACCCCCCCCCCTTATAAGACAGCGGAAGCACACACACCCCTATGCTTTGCCAACCCCGAGCTCCTTTCCCAAGACCTTCCTTGCATTGAATAGGGGTACCTGGTCCCTAATAGTAGGTGTTTAGGGTATAATACAGGGCAGCTGGAGGGTCTAGATCCATTTCCTATCATTTCATTCTCCATTCTCTTTACTATTTGAGTCTCCATTATTCGTGTGAACCCTATACAATGCCGTTTTATGTCCTGTAGCCCCTTTAAACAGAGACCCTAAACCCCAAACCTTCCTCACAGAAGTGTTAAAGTGCCAGGATACGCGTGAAAGGGAGGCTCTCAATTTGAAGCTCGACTGCAGCTTAGCCTCCCGCAACCAAAAATGGGCTGCTGTTTAGGAACTTACTTTCCTTGTACCCTTAAATAGGGGTATATGGTCCCTAATAGTGGGTCCACAGGGCATAATAGAGGGTAAATGGAGAGTCTAGGTTGTTGTATATGCATATATACGTACATGCATACTAGTGACATATTGTAAGTTCCTTAGCAGCAACCCAGCAAAGTGGGACCCCTAGGATGATGTGGTGGCCAAAGCCATGCGTCCCTGCAGGGGGGTGGGAGGGGTCCCTGGGGGATATAGTGGGGATTCAGGGGTGACTGTAGGCTCCCTGCCTGAGGGTCATTTCGAGACCTGCCCATTTGGTAGGGGATGCTGGCAACATCAGGAATTTATTGCAGTCATAGTTAAGTCACACAGTCCTTGCTATGAGGGGTGTCTGTGAACAAACAAGCATTACTGCATATGGCAGGTCAAAGGGGGCTCACAAGACATCTTGTCAGACAGACATTTTACATAGGACTTCCAGCGCACGAACGGTGTATTGAGAGCTAGGAAGGTCATGCGTTTCAGACTGCCTATACTCGCTGCCGCTGTCGGGCTCCAGGACAAGTCAGCATGTACACTTTGCACGAAGCATGCTTTGCAGTTAAAACTTAGCACCTCAGTGCCCATGGAGCGCGTGCTGCTGATCTCCATGGGATCCCGGGGTGACATGGAGCCCTTCCTGGCGCTCGGGGAGGAGCTTAAGGAGTCAGGGAGACTCTGCTTTTTTTATGGAGATCATGTAGGGATTCATATGGACGTGGTATAGGATTTAATAGGTTTAGGGCGTTAGGGGAGTTTACCATCCTGCAAATTGACATGCAAGGCATACAGGGCCATTCAAATTCTACTGTCCTTTTCAAAAGGGGACCACGTAAGCTTTTATGTTTGTTTTGGGAGGCTATAGCAAGGTTCTCTTCGAGTGTACTTAGATCCCAAAAGAAGGTGGTATGATGGCCCAACCCTGCGCAAAGGCTACTATTCTTCGTGCTTTTTGGGTCAAGGTAGCTTTATCGAAAAGTGGGACCACGTAACCTTCCATGTTTGTTTGGAGGAAGGCTGCAGAAAGGTGCTCTGAAACCTGTGTAGTTGGGGTGTACTTGGACCCCAAAAGTAGGTCGAATGATGGCCCAGCACCCTGCACAGGCCACAATGCTACGTGCTTTTTGGGCCCAGGTAGTTTTAGGACTTTCCTTAGTTTGGGCTCGGCCCAGTATTGAGCATCCAGAGTTCCAGGAATGCCCGGATTTTCCCCTCTTAGGGGTTTAGGGTTTAGGGTTTGGGTTTAGGGTTTGGGGTTTAGGATTTAGGGTTTGGGTTTTAGGGTTTAGTATGCTTTTGCAGCAGTACAGGGGGCCTCGACCAATTTGAACTACAGTGCTCTTCAAGGGGATGGTATGAGAAAAGCCGAGGAACTGTGACGTGGCTTTCTGCATGCCGGCGCAGTTTCAGAGTTTGGCTGCAGAAGTCAGCGAGACTTTCTACGCCATGGACAAGGCAATGCTTGCCTGCGCAAAGACCTGTTCAAGGACGATATGGAGGGTTGTCCAAAATAGGGTGCCTGTTTGGGTAATTACCCTATGCATGTGTGGGGCTGTGTTATATGCGGAACTAAATATGTAACCATACCGTAGACAAGCTATACCATGCAGGGTTTCTCATAGACTTTTCCTTTTTCCGGACTGAAGCCCTAAACCCTAAACTCCTTGCATTTGTTGCGCTGCTGGCTTGGTTGAAGAGGAGGCGCAAGGGACTTAGGCGGTCACGGCCTTCAGGATTGTTTCCATGATATGCCGGTGTTGAGACTGTCTGGCAGAGTATGACAGTTTGATTCACCTTGCTGCACATCATGGGTATGGTGGGAGCTGGCGTTTGCAAGATGAGATCGGATAATGTGACACCCTTGTATGAGCAACTCTGGTCTGTCGGTCCTTGGTCACTTGCACTTAAGGTAAGACCTCAGGGAGGATGCCATGCGATGATGTCATGCCGAAGAAAGCATTGCAATCTTCCCTCACGCTTAGAGTACATAGCCTGGGGACATTGGAGTGGTACAGGCATTGAATGATGCCATGGTCCATATGATCAACTGCACTTTTGTTGCTATGGTTGCGACATATGCAAGTGCCCTCCAAGGCTGTTTGTTTCTTGTTGTTTGTGCCTGGCGCAATGGAACTGGACTGGGTAGGAAAAAGTCAAATTGCATTTTACACCGGATTATTGTATATACCGTTCTTTGAGAACATCTCGGGTACACGAAAGGGTACACTAAACTTTCGTACTAGGTCCGCATGCTTACCTCTATTTCGTGATTACACACAGAAGGACTCGTTGTTTTGATGCAGGCTTTTCTTGAGCTTGTGGAGAACGACGACGCTGCTATGCTTCATAGGGTAGCAATTAGGTGGACCCCCCACCCAGTAATAGTGAGTATAGGGGATAATAGGGATCATATTAGGGTCCTCTTATAGTCTTTTTATAGCACCATTACAGGGTGGGGGGTCCTCCTAAGGTAGCAATCTCACATTTGTCCTTCTATCTGCTATGGCACGATGTTGGTAGGTCCTGCCCCTACAATAGCATCCTCCAGAATGTTGCCCAGAGGGTCCAAGTACCCAATAATTAGGTGGTTTTGGGTAATAGTATAATTATAGTACAGGTTTTTGGTAAGTATATGATCATTAGGTACTTGGACCCTTAGGGTTGTGTGTTGTGCGACTCGAACATGTGGGCCCCCTAAACCCTAAACCCTAAACCCTAATCTTGTTTGCATGTGTCTGCTGGGAAGTCCCATGGATTCGTTGACGACCACTCACCAGGACCCTTCTTGTACCCTTAAATAGGGGTATATGGTCCCTAATAGTGGGTACTTAGGGTATAATAGAGGGTAGATGGAGGGTCTAGGCACTTGCAGTAGCATGATTTTCATTTTGTTAGCGTTGGTTGTTTTTGTCCTCTCATGACCGTCCAGCAGATATTACTACACTGGTGTTGAATGGTAGTTTCCCCCTACTCGGGCACCCCAATATGGACCCCAATATACTATAGTCCTTATTACAAGGACTCCCAAAGTGTACCTCTACACTGGTGTTAAATCACTCAGCAACTTCATGTGTGGGCTCTAGCTACTGAGGTGAAGCGCATCATTGCCCAGGCGGGCATCCTTTTCTCTGGTGGGTGTAGGATTCTGGGTTCCAATATATAGAATGGGATATGGGCTAGCATCTTCACCAGAACTTTGCATAAGTTTAGCCCGGCTAAGAAGAGATTTGTATCTGGTCGTGATCCAGTTGGTTCGTCCCATTTCCACTCCGTTTACGTATACTTCTGGGCCACCACGGTACAGTGACGTCGGGCACCAACAAGCGAAAACTATTTGCGGATGCTTTAGCTAGCACGACCCCCAAACTACCTAGACCCTCCTCCTGCCCTCTATTAGGGCCTAAGTACCCACTATTAGGGACCATATATCCCCAACTAAGGGTACAAGGAGGGTCCTGGTAGGTAGGTTCAGCGTGGTCGCGGCTGCGGACGATGATCAGGTTGATGCTCCTTGCTTTGGTTTTCAGTATGTCTTTCCCTTTTTTGGAGCTGGACCCGACAGTCCATTTTCCAGATAGGTTCCTTGAATAGACTTCAGCCCCCAAACATTCTGCCCTATTTTTCCACATTCTGCCCTATTTTTCCTTGGATATACTATAGTATATTCTATTCTATTATATATTCGTATATTATACTACAATCTACGATATTATGCTATAAGTGCTTCATGCTCTTTCAGACTTGCAGGCTAAGGCTCAGCATCCTAGTCTTGAACTACGGGTCCACGTAAACAATAATGGGTCAATTTAAAGCGACCTCACCCGACCTCACCCTAAATGGTGGTTTATACAGGGAATAGTACCAAATCGCCTTAAACTGGGAGTTGAAGTTATTCAAAATTACCCTGTACAGTAGTGCCAAAGCCCTAAGTACCTAACTATTTGGTACCTGGACCCCTAGGGTTGTGAGGGGGAGTAAAGAAGCCGAATTTTAAAGAACCCGCCGCGCAACCCCTAAACCACTTTTACATTTGACCCCCAGACGCCCCTAAACCCTAAACCCCAAACCCTAGACCCCAAACCCTAAGCCCTAAACCTACCAAGGTGGGAAACGAAACCGTTGCAGCAACAGCTTATCCGAGACCAGAAGGTGGCGGTGGACCAGCTTCTCTGGATGACTGGAGATGTGGGAGGTTTAGGGTTTAGGGCCTAGGGTCTAGGGTTTAGGGTTCAG